GCAGAACAGCTATCTCACCAGTGGCCCCGGGAGGAGGGAGAGCATCGCGGGAGGTGATTGGGGTGGGGGCGCCCCTGGGCAGTGAGCGCGGGGCTACGAGTGAGTTCCCAAGAGCAGCTTTCCTGAGCAGCAGGCATCAAGGGGGCTTCGGGGTTCCGGGCGCTCCCGGAGGCCAGGGGAGGGAGGGGTCCCCGGGTGCATGGCTTCCCTGGGGCGGGGATTTCCTTGCCTGGGTCCCCAGGGGCGGGGCTGGAGGCGTCCCTGACGCGATCTCCCGGGTGTTCCTAGCCCGGTGTTTTTCCCCACGGCAGGTGGCCCCCGACCCGAGCTGCAATCATGGGAAACACCACTAGCGACCGAGTGGCCGGGGAGCGCCACGGCGCCAAGGCTGCACGAGCCGAGGGCGCCGGCGGCCATGCCCCGGGCAAGGAGCATAAGATCATGGTGGGGAGCACGGACGACCCCAGCGTCTTCAGCCTGCCGGACTCTAAGGTGAGCGTCCCAATACCCCCAGTTGGTGGCGGTGCTGGAGCAGGCAGGGTGTCAGTACTCTTCCTTTCTTAGTTTTTTTCTTATCACACTGACCTGGGTTACAGTTTTTAGAATTAAAGGGTTTTTTTCCGGGGACGGAGATGCTGAATGGTAATTCCTTCCGCGTTGGTGCATCAAAATAGTATAAAGGCGGAGTTCTTGTCTTTCTACTACTCTGTTGGCCACATTTTTAGGATGGGGGCAACAGACCTCCGCCCCCCCCCCTCCCCCGCCACCTAGGTTCTCCTAACAGGCACGGGTGCCCTCTTCTAGAGTATTGATGAACTTGTAGGTTGTAAACCCTGGTGAAAAACTTCAGAGGGTAGGTTGCCAAGTTGCTGACCATAGGCGGCAGTTTCTCACATTTGCCCTGAGGTGGGCAGAGGAATTTCTTTTTCCTGACAACTTGTCTATCAGTGTTATTTTTGCCCTTCTAAGAGCTCAACACTTCTGATCCTCTTCCCCTTTGGCATGGATGTGAAGCAACCACTTGCTTATTTAAATACTTTCTCCTAGTCTTGGGGATCAGTAAAGGACATTATTTGATCGACTGCTTAGTTTTCATCTCATACTTTATAGCTGTGGTGGCTGAGGTGCTTCTTTCACGTCCAGCTGCTTCTCAAAAGGGAGCGCAAATGATTCTAGGATTTCTCCACTTCCCAGTAGGACTTCATAGTGTTACCACAGCTGAAAATGGACAACCCACAGCTGCCCTGAAGACCTTGCTCTCAATTCCAAGGACTTTTAGGAAAGCGGCAATTTGTGTTCAACCTACCTGAAGGATAGATGAAGCTAACAGCAGTGTGATTACCATCTGAATGTTTTCTAATCACTTTTAGAGCTGCCAGCATTTAATACATTAATTCCTCCGGTAGTCTAACCAGAATGGAATAGAAAAAAATGGAAGAATTGAGAAGATTGAAATGTGTTTCATGTTTCTTATCACTCATACCTTCCCACCTACTTCGGTTTTGATTTTATTTACTCCTGTAAATAGAGAATAATTTGCCAGGTTGGGAGCATGTGAAATGTGAATTCTTCTGTTTATTTTCTTGGATCCCAATTGAGAACATAATCACCAGGAGAAGTAAGGGTGATTTCTTGGGGTTTCTTCTCCATCCCTTTCTTCATCTCCCACTTCAGGACTTCTTCCTGAACATTTGGGCTGTTTCCCCAGCTATCTGGATTTATTTCTTTAAAGCTTTCTCAAGGTGATCTACCTCATTGTATTTTAACCCGTTTTCTACATTGATGACTCAGGATTTAAGTACAGTGTATTTGTCAAACTGTGATTGCAGTAATTGGCATCTTGAATAAAAGCCAGGTTGCTCTAATCTGAAAGGAGCCTATTTTGGATCATTCTTTCTCTTACCTTTATCTTGCCACTTGTGATATAAGAAAATTGGTTCAGATAATTCCTAAGGTCTCTTCCAAATCTAATACTTCCAAATCTAATACGTTCTGAATCTACTCTACCTATTTCTTATCTCAATGTTTCGGTTAAACATTTTTCACTTGCAGTTCTAATTGTTTTGCCTCTTTTTCCTGATGATTTTGCTGACTATTTAACTTGGAGTAAACAGTCTTTCTGCTAGTCAGCTGCACTCATGCCTACCACAGAAATGTCATGTCATACGTGGAAGGGCTTTCTTCCAAAGCTAGGCATATTAATAGTTTGTAGCTTTCAAATTCTAAACTGAAAATACTAAATCTTAAAAAGTAAATGATAGAAACAGTGGCAGTAGGGCCTATATTGCTTTTAATGCCAGCCTTCTTCAGTGGCCTAGCTCAATGGTTCTCAATCCTGTTTGCACATTAGAATCTCCTGGGATTTGTTTAAACACTTCATGGAAAATTTGAAACATTTTCCATGTTTCAAAGTAGGGAGAACAGTGTAATGAACTCCTATATAGCTGTCAGTCAGTTTAAACAATGATCAAATCATGAATGAATTTATATCATCTATACCCCAGTTCACTCTACCCCCACCAATTATTTTGAAGCAAATTCCAGACTAGCATATCAAATATTATTTTATCTGTAAATATTTTAGGTTGTATCACTAAAGATGAGGTTTCTTTCATTGTTTGTAGCATAATCACAGTATTATTATATGGGAAGCTTTTAAAAAAATAGATTCCCAGGCCCTATATCTGAGTTAGGAATCTGAGGTATATGTAATTCTCAGGCATATGTAAAAATTTTTGTAATCCTAATGTGGCCTGTCGAGAAAGGGTTCATTGCCTTGTGACAATGGAGATCAAAGTTCTATCTTAAGCTACTCCTTATATAATGTGAAAGTTCCTTCAGTTCTTTCTGTTTACTTTGGAACATGCTGTTCCTGGTATCTCAGAGTGTAGTTCTGAGGAATATCAAGAGACAGTATAGAAGATAGACTACCTCAGCCATTTTGAAAATAAAGCCCAAATGAATAAACACATTATTTTATCTGGTAATATGCTGGCTTGATAATATATAGTTTTATTTACTTATTTACCAAAGTCACTTAAGCCAATATAAAGTGGGGGTCAGCAAATATTTCAGACTTTGCTGACCATATAGTCCATGTCATAACTACTGAGTTCTGCCACTGTCGCATGAAAGCAGCCATAGAAAATAAATGAATGAGTATGGTTATTTTCCAATCAAACTTTATTTGTAAAAACATCTGGCTCACTGGTCATGGTTTGCCAATTCCTATTCTAAAGGATGGTAATGAAAAGAAACTACGTGGGGTTTCCAGAATCCTATAGACGTCATTTGATATTGGAACCACTTTTATTAAAGGAAACTGTTTTTGATCTAATGTTGCTTGAAGCTCCAGAATTTTCATCCCTTCTCCTGAAATAGCTAGTATAAACCTGGCGTAGATGAGCCAGGTTATGAAGTAAGATTTCATAACCAGTTCTCAAAATTTAAGAAACTAGTGATCTGATTTTTGTATTTTTAATGTCCTTTTGTAACCTATTAACTAAAATGGAGATTATGAATTAGTTACGAGTTTTAGTATCTCTAATTTCTGTTACAACTGGTAATTGAGAGCTACTCGGATTTGCATGTGAAAAATACATAGCTAACAATTATTTCTTGTAGAACCACACTTTGTTTTCATATTTTTTCTCTTAAGAGATACTCAGAAGCATATTATAATTGTCTGCCTCTGGGTTAATCTGGTAACAGTGTTTTGTTTTTTGTTTGTCTGTTTGTTTTTTTAAGGGAAATCCTAAGGCTCTGAAAGGATGAGTGATATATGCATACTTGGAAGTTAGGCTGTGATTTGGGCAGCCCTTGAGCATAAGCCACTTGATATTTTGGTTCTAGATGAGTTCTTTGTAGTCTACTCAAAACCTAATTGAGTTGCTAATTTCAAAGCTTATTAATCCTTAGCAGAAACCTAGCACCCCTCTCTGCCCTAGGGAGGAGTGTGACCTTTTCAGAATTCCTGGGTCACAATTTAGGGATGACCTAATCCTTCTTACAGCTCCCTGGGGACAAAGAGTTTGTATCATGGCAACAGGATTTGGAGGACTCCGTAAAGCCCACACAGCAGGCCCGGCCCACTGTTATCCGCTGGTCTGAAGGAGGCAAGGAGGTCTTCATCTCTGGGTCCTTCAACAATTGGAGCACCAAGATTCCACTGATTAAGAGGTGAAGACAAGTGTCTTGGTTGAGTCTACAGGGTCCAGGAGTGGAAACTTGATTTCCTTTCTCAAGAGAGAGACCTGGCTGGGCTATTCCTTTCTACCTGCTAGGGACTCTCTCTAGAACATTGCCTGTGATCACTGACTTCATCTGTGACTTTTTTTTTTAACCTCCTAGTGAGTCAGAGATGTTCTACCACTCAGAATGTTACTGCCTCAGAGGGACTTAGAACAGCTTTGTGGGTACATTCTTTAGGACTGTGTTAACACAAGTCCTTTCCAAGCTTGTGGGAAGTCTTCCATAACTGGCTGAGTCCAGTCGCTCTGACTTCTTCACTAAAAGAAGACACATTGTGAAGTTCTAAGAGTAATGTTATGTGTTGCTTGCAGAGCAATAATGAATTATGTAACTGGTTATGGCCCTTTGTATGTAGGTAATTTTCTAGAAAATGCTCACCAAAATATGGAAAGGGTACCTTGAGGCACTTCTTATTCAGAACCTACCTGCTATCTTATTTATGCTTGTGAGGAATCTATTCTGCTGAAGCAAAATAATTGTGCTAAGGTGGAACATTTAGGGGAATTAACTTTTTTATTTTTTATTTCAGATATGAATTAAGAACTAAAGTTATTGGGAGGGGCTGGCAAATACATGCTCAAGGTGATATAGAATAGGAGAATGGATTTATAAATTATTTTTCACTCTGGGAGTGCAATCACTTAGGAATGTGGGAGATCATTGGTATGATACTGTGACTGCCTCATGGTTTTTACATTTATATTCTGTCTTCTAATAGGAACTTGGCCTGTATAACTTTCTGTTTTCTTCTGTAGCCATAATGACTTTGTTGCCATCCTGGACCTCCCTGAGGGAGAGCACCAGTACAAGTTCTTTGTGGACGGACAGTGGGTTCATGATCCATCAGAGGTAAGGCCTTGATCTCCGAGGGTAACCACTGACTTAACAGTCTCCTTTTAGCTATTATTCCCCTTGGTATCCAACATCATTGCTGTCAGGATTGATGGACTCCTACACTGGAGGATTTCTTTCTTGATAAAAGTTGGAGGTGTCAAGTATGATCATTTTTAAAAAGGGGAGAGTTGTATGGAAGAGATGGATTTGAAATGGGGATTCATGAATTCTTTTCTATTCACTGTTTCAGCCTGTGGTTACCAGTCAGCTTGGCACAATTAACAATTTGATCCATGTCAAGAAATCTGACTTTGAGGTGTTTGATGCTTTAAAGCTAGATTCAATGGAAAGTTCAGAGACATCTTGTCGAGGTAATTTTGAGTATTTGCTCTTTCTTGGTGTGTTTTTCTTATATTGCATGTTCCTTCCCAAGAGTGGTTTTTGTTTATTTCTTCATTTTCTCTGTAGGAGTCTTCTGAATTGTATGTATATGTTTCTCCTATAACCATTTGGGTTCCCTTCTCTGAGGGAAAAAAAGTCTGTCTAGTGTATTTGATCTCAAACTTTTTAACCAGGATCTACAGTAAGTTTACATTATAACCCAATACAGATACAAATATACATATACCCACCCACCCCTACACACAAAACTGTAACACAAGTCTTGCAGTATAATGTTTGCCTTTATACATGTAAAACATTCTATTTTATTTATTTATTTTAATAAACTATTAATGGGCTGTGGTCTATAGTTTAAAAAGCTGTTTCTAGTAATATTTCAAGTTTTTCATTGACCTTTGAGAGTATCAACTAGCAGGGGCTAGTTGTGTCTGGTATGCCTTGTTTAGCTGCTTCAGCTTTATCCTGCCAATTTGATAGCTCAGTTGGCAGTTTTACAGTTTTATAGGGCCCTGCAAGTTTGGCAGTCTTTGGGGGAAAAGGGGTTACCAAAACATCATAATTCTTTTGTATGTGTGTGTTAACTGAAGTTTTATAGTTTTCAGTAAAATTAAATTAATTAATTTATATATTCATTTCCTTGGTTTAGGAAAAAACCTGAATCCTTTTATTTCTCCTCATATTTTTTTAAAGCCTTCATCTCTACTTATATTGGCCATAGCACCAGAAAAATAATTTGCTAATCACACTCACAGTTACCAGTTTTGTTACTTTGCAATAAAGGATATAATTATTTAAAGAACTATGTTCCCAGTGAACACAGTTCTCTTTTGTGGTTTCAAAGCCTGCCTCTGCTACCAACTAGCTTTGCCATCACGGACAAGTCCTTCAACTCTTCTGGTTCTTAGCTCCTTATCAGTAAAATCAGAGGCTTGGACTCTCAGTGATTCTCAGCTGAGGAGATGCAGTACCCCAAGTGGGGCATATTAGAATCTTAGGGCACAAAGGTGGCTTATGCAGTTTCTAAAAGAATAATCAATAGTATAATAATTGTCTGTTTAGGAAAATTGCGAAGATACTGTTTTCATTATATAAACTCAGAAAGTAAGGCTGGACATTCTTCTTAACTGCTGCAGCAGTGATTAAAAAGAGTTTAAAAATACTGAATTACAAAACAGCGTGGTATTGGCATAAAAACACATATGGATCAATGGAACAGAATAGCCCAGAAGTAAACCCACAGACCTACGGTCAATTACTCTTTTTGTAAATTTGACAAAAGAGGCAAGAATATACAATGGAGAAAAAACAGTTTCTTCAGCAAGTTGTGCTGGGAAAACTGGATAGCAGCATGTAAGTTAGAACACTCCCTCACACCATACACAAAAATAAACTCAAAATGGCTTAAACACTTAAATACAAGACAAGAATGATAAACCTCCTAGAAGAAAACATAGGCAAAACATTCTCTGACATAAATCATAGCAGTGTTCTCTAAGACAGTCTACCCAGGCAATAGAAATAAAAGCAAAAATAAACAAATGGGATCTAGTTAAACTTACAAACTTTTGCACAGCAGAGGAAACCATAAATAAAACAAAACAAATGGGAGAATATATTTCCAAATGATGCGACTGACAAAGGTTTAACTTCCAGAATGTATAAACAGCTCATACAGCTTAATAACAAAAAAAAAAACCAAACCACCCAATCCAAAAATGGGCAGAAGACTGAAACAAGCAATTCTCCAGTGAAGACATACAAATTGCCAGTAGGCACATGAAAAAATGCTGAATAAGCTAATTTCAGAGAAATGCAAATCAAAACTACAATGAGGTATCACCTCACACCAGTCAGAATGGGCCATCATCTAAAAGTCCACGAACAGTAAATGCTGGAGAGGGTTTGGAGAAAAGGGAACCCTCCTATACTGCTGTTGGACATGTAGTTTGGTGCAGCCATTATGGGTAACAGTATGGAGATTCCTCAAAAAACTAAAAATAGAGTTACCATATGATCCAGCAATCCCACTCCTGGGCATATATCTGGAGGGAACTCTAATTTGAACAGATAAATGCACCGTGGTGTTCACAGCAGCACTATATACGATAGCCAAGACATAAAAGCAACCTAAATGTTGACAGATAACTGGATAAAAAAACCATGATTATACACACACACACACACACACACGAAACTACTCAGCTATAAAAGAAATAATAAAATAATGTCATTTGCAGCAACATGAATGGACCTAGAGAGTGTCGTTCTAAGTGAAGTAAGCCTGAAAGAGAAAGAAAAATACCATATGATATCACTCTGTAGAATCTAAAAAAAAGAAAAAAGAGGACACTAATGAAGTCATCTACAAAACAGAAACACTTGCAGACATAGTAAACAATCTTATGGTTACTGGGGGAAACGGGGTGGGAAGGGATAAATTTGGGAGTTTGAGATTTGCAAATGTTAGCCACTATATATAAAAATAGATAAAAAACCGAATTTCTTCTGTATAGCACAGAGAACTATATTCAATATCTTGTAATAACCATTAGTGAAAAAGGATATGAAAACATATGTGTGTATATGCATGACTGGGACGTTGTGCTGTACACCAGAAAGGGACACATTATAACTGACTACAATAAAACAAATACTGAATTAAATGATTAGGCCACTTGTAACTCTAAATTTTTGCATTATATGATCCTGAGAAAGAAACCAATGAATAATATGTATAGAGAGAAGATTAGTATACTTTTCATACTTCTCTCTTCCCTCTTTCATGCAAATTTCATAATCCACTGAGGTAAGATTTAAAATACATTTTATTAGGAGTCTGCAGATGAGTTTTAATCTGCATTCAATGACCATCTTGACATGTATGTGACTTTGAGCAAATCACTTTTTTTTTTCCCTGACAAAAAGGAAAAAACTGTCCTGTGTACTTCCTAAGGTTGTTTTTGTGGATCATGTAACAAAAATAACAGAATACTTTGAAAAGTTTCAGGTTTTATATATTTTTAAGATATTGTTTAATATAACATAATTTTTACTACTCTTTTCTTTTGCCTCACATATATTTAACTGAAATCTGAGTTCTTATACTGAACTGGTTATTAAAATCCTTTTTACTAGAGACTGTAAACATTATTTAAAAATTTTAAGTAAAAATTATAGTTCTCTTTATTTTTGTATATTTCCTTCTATTCTTGTCTGTGTACATTTTTCCATTTTTTAGACATAATTCATATACCATAAACTTTATCCTTTTA